TTGGTGGTTTTGTTGGTGGCAGATGGTTGGAGTCAATAAGGTTCAACTGTATCTATCTAAGTTCCTCAACAAATGAAAATACCGGGATCCATTTTAAGTTTAAGTATCAACAATAAAGTATTTCTAAAAAGTTTCTCCATGTTCTTAGTTTTTAGCATGATTTTTTCTTACTGTTTTTGCGGGGCAACACACATTCGCACTTCGTCGAGTATCTCATGCCATCATCTTTTAAACGACAGCGGCGGCAATTCCTCAAGTGTTTTGGCTGCCACTGCCGCTGGTCTCTCCACTTGAAAATTTGGCATCAAATGTCAGCGTCAGCCATCGTCGTTTGCATTTGATTTTTACTAGTTCTCGGTTCCCACCCTCGAGACGGGTCGTCTGTCCATCGGATTTAAATGAGTTTTTCAAATACTTGTGCACGTACGGCCGGTCGCAATTTGTACGGTAGTCGGCGGCAACATCAACAACTTTCTTTTATTCCCTTATCTTCTGGCACGCACTGACATTTCCTCTACATAGCCCACCACTATTTGGGGTTCTATTCAAACTTCAAATCAAAGCCAAAGTCCAAACCCAACCAGAACAGAACAGAAAACTCAACTCTTACTCTGGCCCTCAATTCAATTCATGCTCTGTCATTTTTAATGAATCACTTAATTGTCGTCCAAGTTGGGTGGACTTGAGTACTCGAGTGTTTTCAAGGGATCTGGGTTGGGGTTCAGAGAGTGGGAATCGAGGGAGGATGCGACTTCACAGGCTGCCAAAACAGTCGAGAAATCTGAGAAGCAAAGATGTTTCGCTTGAAATGAAGTCGCAACGATCCGAAAAGTGGAGTTTTGATGAGGGATATTTTCTGGCTTGAAGAGATTTTCTGATCTGTTCTGCCTGAACTTGATTGAAAGGAGATTGAAATGGAGATCTTTGAACATATGGTTTCAGTTTTTTTTGTTGGAGTATACATTTTATTTTGCACACGGAATTCCAGGTTTAAAGTATTAAATACTATAGTAGTATTTAAATGACATATATACTTATTATAAAATATGACATGACATATATAAATTTAATGTCATTATAAGTTTATAAATTTTTTTTTGTTATTATAATGAAAACTATTAAGGTACTCAGATAAATAAATGTTTACTAACAGTACTGAGTACTTACTAAATTAAAAATACTTTAAAGTAATTAAAATTCCATTGGCCAACTGGAAATACTTGAGTTATTTGTAAAACATAAACGGAATCGTAAACTAAAGCCTGTGAGTCCTTCACAATCAACACCATTTCGACACTAAATGTACGCCCCAAACCAACTCTTTACTAGTCCATAAAAATTCCGAACAGAAACTGAATTCCCGAAAAACCCCATTCCCCAGGGAGACGACATTGCAACTCCATCAAAACGGTTCGCACAACATGAAATTACTCATAAAAGTGCGCCCAAAAAAAAAAAAAAAAAAAAAAGCGAAGAGAAAAAGAAACAAGTACATCGTATACGTGTAGAAGTGAAGTGTCTCGTGGCTGTCGCTTGACGTCAACATCTCTCTGGCCGCCACATTCTACATTTGATGCCGGTGCCGTGTTGTTGTGCTGGAAAGTGTTTTTACCCATTTTTGGCATGGAGAAAAGACCACGACAACACTCTTTGGAACTTCGCCTCGCCTCGCCTCGTCGCCGGCGGCTTCTAACAAATTTAAATTGTTTTCAACTTAATTTCGGGACCCAGTTATCATGGCCGAGTGTGTGCATCTTCATCAAGACAACTGGCTCCTCTAACGAGGCCCCACACATGCAGAGTTTCTCAGCCCTCGGAAAATAAATTGCCTTTGGAATTTAGAGCACGGACATGCCGTAACAATAACTGTAATTTATGGCTAAATCCTCGCTAAAATTAAAATGTTTTCCTTCAATTTTTTAAGTTACAAAATTTAAGATATTTCTTATTTAACAATAACTGTAAATTATGACTAAGTCCTCTTAATGGTTATACTGCAAAAAAAAAAAAAATTTTTTTTAATGTAAAATACTTTTGATAAATCAAACCGTTTATAGAATGAAATTCAATACTTTTCATTCACTTAATTGATCAACAATTAAAGCACTAATTTCCCAGAATTTATTACCACATTTTTTCGACTCTAAATCTCCTTAGAAAAACATAAACAAATGAAATGAGGCACGCAAATATATTTCAACCGAGCATGGAACGTAGAAACTCGATGATTCCCTGCCCTCAACTCGGCGGCATCTTCATCATTTTCCACGCATGATTCGGCATAAAATTTCGTTCACACCATTTAATTTTGGAGCGCGAGGCGACAGTGGGAATATGGTCCGAATTTAGAAAAGATATGGGAACGGGAGTGCTATATTGTTGACATTTTGGGCTCAACACTCGTGGCACACGCATCAGCAAGTTGTGTGAATTATAGTCGGTTGTTCGAAAAGGAAGGAGGAGCCTTCCACGGTCCTCTGGTATTTATGGAGAACGAGATGGGATCGTAATAGAGAGGACATATGGGCATGACACTCAGTCCGTAGAGGTCGGCCGCTAATTAAGTGCAGCCGAACATGACTTTTTATAACTCAGATTTATGTTGATTTTATGGCCGCCCAACTCAGAGGGGAACACTTGAGGCTGGTATAAGGCATCGACTTCCTTGGCTGCTGCTTGGCTTGGCTTGAGATCAATCAGCGAGGCGATATATTTGATATGTAATTAAGACAAACGTAACTGTTTATATATCTCTGCCCCTTTGGGTTGGCGGTGCACTTCTAAGGTTCGCATTTCGTTGTTGTAATGCTATGAAAATTGATTGAGTTTTACAGCCTCTAATTCCACAACACTTGCATATGATTAGAGAGTGAACCACGAGCATTACAGCAACCGTTGGGAACTCAGTGGGGCACAAAAAATCCAGAAACCAGAACCGTAACCACATCTTTTCCGTGCAGTTTTGATTATGCCTACAAAATTTTCTGTTTGCTCAACTTTCTTCCCTTCACTGGTTTTCGAATAAATACATATTTTCTATTGGTTTTTTTTAATTAGCACTTTATAGAGAACTTTGGTAGCCCCGCTGTCAAATGTGACAGCCGAGAGTTCATACATTCCATTAGTCTGTCAAAATTCGTGGGGAAAGTTCTCCACTCTTTTATTAGCATAAAGCCCGAAATAAATGCATTTTCTTGCGACAAAAAGTTCATTTTATGTGGAAAAGGTAAACACGTGAAATAAACGAAAATTTAATTAATTTTGTAGACTTAGTGGCCATCAAAAAAAGCTTATTAGTTCTTAACATTTTTGTTGGCCTCTTTTTGTTCATTATTTACACAACAAAACTGTTTACAGTTTTTACACATAAGGAACTTTAATTTAGCACAGTTTAGTAACAAAATTAAATTTTAATTTAAACTAAATTTAAAAAAAAAGTCTTATTGTTTGCATGGCAAACATATTTAGCCATATTTAACACGGCTTATTGGTTCAAAATATGTACGCTTATTAAAACAAGAATATATTTTGCATAAATTAAAAACGAACTTGCCTTGAGGATAGGAAAAAATTTGCTAAATTGTTTTTTTTTTGTTTTTTTTGTTTCTAATATCTGTATAGCAAGTATTTATGATTTCAAATTGCAACCGCATTATTTATAAATACATTAAAATACAGTCATTCCGAGAAAATTTCTGAAATTTCACCCTTAACCGAGCAATTTTGCTTTGATTCACCCATTCAATTTGTGAAAGCAAATGCAATGGCAAATGCTTAACTCGTTTCAGTTCACTCTGTCGCGCTTAAAGCGGCAAATTTAATTCCAATTTAATTCGAGCCTAATCCAAGGCGCCAGCCAAGAAAGAAGCATTTCCCATAGCATAATCCTCTGCTCTGCCCTACTTAGAATAATTTGAAAACTTTAAGCAGCAACTTTTTACCAGCGAATGCAGCTGTGACGCGATTGCTTCAGGGCAGGGGTAAGTGGGTGTTAATCAGTGTTGCCTAGGTAGCAAGAAGTAGCTTTTTTACTTTAATATACAGCGAAAATGATTTTTAATCATTATACAAACATGAATTAAAGAAATCAAGTAAGTCATTTATGTAGACTTTTTGTTCTAGCAATGGTATTTAGCTAAAGCAAAAAAGAAGAGGTATATATAAATAGCTAAATATTTAAAGAGTTCTAATGCTCTTTTAAATTTGCTATAAAATAGCTAGACTGACACTTCTTTGGGTCTTAAGTCCGTAATTGTATCTGGCCAAAGTTGTGGACACTGGAATGGATCATCCTGGGTCCATGGGCCAGTTTATGCCTACGGTTATCACATCATTATTCAAGCATCAACTGCTGGTTTTCCTCTTGCTTAAGTCTTTTTTTGCTCACATTTTTCATTCGTTTTTCAGGGGGGCTTTGTCAAAGCCAAAACTTTAGTTAAGCCACTTGAGCGACATTGTTGAAATCGGTAATTTGCCTGCCTCGTCTCTCGATCCGATTCTCGTTTCTCTCCCTCGTGGCCATAAAAAAAAAAAACGCGACGAACGGCTGGCGAAGACGGCTAACGACTTGAAAATCCTTATTAATCACAGAGAGTCGTCGCGGGTCCGGTCTCCTCTTGCTCATGGCCATAAAAAGTCAATGCTGCCACTGATAAGCAAACGGGCGACATGGTCAACAGACGCAGCAGCCACAGCCACGGCAACAGTAACAGCAAGAGTCACCAAATAAAGCCAGACAGACCAGATATCGGTTGCCTTTCTACCTCCTTTCCGCCACAAATCCCCAACTCATTTTCAATTAATTAATCCAACAACATTCCAGCACTATTATCTTGGCATATCTCAAATATTTCCTTTAATTACGCCAAGCGGAGAAAAAGGCCAGGCAAAAGTGTTGGTCGTAACAACAAAAATCTGACACCTCGAACAATCAATACATCATCATAAGTGCGGCATGCAAAAAAAAAAAAAAAAAAAAAAAAAAGGGAAATAAATAAGAAAGCAAAAAAAAGGAGTATGGAAAAAATAAGTAACTGACACGCACACACAATTACAGGCACGATCACAAGGACTGGGCCACTCCGTCTTCTCCTTCTAATGTAAAAAAAATTTATGCCATTCAAAATTAGCAAAGTGTTATCTAAACGCATAAATTACATGCAGGGGCGGAGGGGTTCTCCTGGCGGAGGGGTTCTCCTGGGTTGCATGCAAATTGCCAGCGAGCCTCCTCACATGTTTCCACAGGATACATATAGTATACAATATGTGTGTGTGTGAGTGCGATAAGTTGAAAGACATTTTGCTGAAGAAGTTGCCACAGCAGCCAACTAGTTACTATGAGTACGGAAGAGGTCAAAATAATAGCAGTAGAGATGCCTCTTACAAAATACTATTTATTTTGAACTTTGTATAGTAACGTATAGTAACATTAACGGGTCCCTAGAAAATAATACAAAGTGTATTTTTGTATTAAAAATAAGTGTTTGTCTTTAATTAAAAAGCATTAAAAAAAAAATCGAAATATAAACTTATTTCAAACGAACAACCATTTAAGATGGTAACCCTTTTTTGTTTTCTTATATATATTAGAGGGCCAACTGTAAACGTAAGTATCCTTTTTTTTTCTCCTAAAAAATATTTATACAGTCTCTCAAAATAATTATTTATCCCTCTGTAAAGATATCTCAATCTTACCAAAAAAGCGGTTAAATATTAAAAATCAATTCATACACAGCTAAAACAAAGGTTTTAAACTCAAAGCCCTATTATTCTGACCACACTTGTAGGTTGTGTCTGTGTTAGTGTGGCAATGCGGCATAAACGATGCCAACAACTGATTGTGACGTGAACTAAGCTCGTAATGAAAGCATATATACAAGTCGGCCAGACCAGAACTGAACGGAATATAACCGAACTGAGCTGGACAGAAAAGGAGAAAAGAGAAGATACTTGGCCCGGCACAAAGATTGCCAATAGACCCAACTTCCATCCTCCTTCTCGACTCCTTGACCAAGATGACAACGTGGCCATGGCTTTGGCGTCGCTGGCGCTGCAATGGGCCAATTGCCTGTCGCCGTCATGTGAAGAAGTGCCGCAGAGCTCCAACCAATTCCACGCTCGGTGGTGAAAACCACACATGAAAAAGCAAATAGTCAAAATTAAATTCACAAATATTGACCAGGAAAATTGTCCTCATGAATATATTTAAATCAAACAAAAAAATAAAGCGAAAATGAAATACAAAAACTTTATTAATATAATCTCTTATAAATTTAGTAATTTTATCAGTAAAGAAAATTTGATTACACATACTTCTTTAATAGATTTTAGTCTGTTGAATTTAAACAGGAAAAAAAAAAAAATTATGATTTTTAACTAAAACGCTGACGAGACCTGATTACAAAAGTATCTATTTAAAAAAATCAAAATTTGCATTACTTTTATCAACACCGTTCCTAAAAGAAGACTTTTTTTAAAAAATGAAGTTATTATTATTATTAAATCCAAAACATAATCACATAAAATATAATTTTTATAGCATAATAACCACATTATGACCACTGTAGCCCACGCAACCGTGCTGCTCGTTCGCTGCCTACAGAGCAATATCCCAACGCAGCAGCAGTCCTCCAAAGTCGCAAGCAAACCAAACCCAACCGAACCGAAATGCCGCATGGACTCCATCGTCGACTGGGACTCCCTGTCTCTTGACTTGGACTGCGAAAACCGACTCGGTATTCGCGACTCTTGCGATGGCACGACTTTGGCGAAATAAGATATAAGCACGACATAAATGGTACTTTATATCTGCAAGATATTATTTTTCCAAACATACACACAAGGTTTATGATTTTCTCCAGATATTTTGTCATCTTTATTATCAGAGCGCGACAGAGAGGAAGTAGAGGAGTAGTAGTCTATGGAGGAATACAGGTAATGGCATAAAGTAACCAAATAAGCACAGAGCAGCTGAAGATGCGGCTAACCGGTGTCATGGGAAGAGGCCAATGCCAAGAAAATATAAATACAAGCCCAAGAACAAGGATGGTTGCGTGGAGAATTGGCCATTGAATGCCAGAAGCTGAAGCAGAGCAGAGCAGAGCATAGCAAAAGCTGGAGGCCAGGTTAGTGTCAGACCGAAAGGCAGGAAGCAACTGCAACACTTGACCAGCAGTCGTCTTGCGATTCTGCAGACGACACCACAATGGGAAATGGCACTAGCACATTGGCAATGTGAATGCGAATACGAATGGGATTGGCATTGGGAATAGGAATAGGAATAGGAGCAGTTGCGTACTTTACACTTGACCAGTCCACTTGCAGGCAGCCAAGTTTCAGCTGGCCCAGGTTACAGGTTACCCCTTCTTCTCCACGATGCGTCATATTTACGGTTCGGTCCTACACATAAACAACATTATTTGCCACCCCACACCAACTCGGCCCTGTCATAAACTAGTTTCACACACATCTATATCTTTATGTGCAGAGAGAAAAATATTAATTATAGAAAAATATCGTATGTAGAATATATTATAAATTGAATATTATAAAATGTAGAAAAATATTTAAAAATAAAAATGTTGAATTATAATGATTTAATTTAAAAAACAAAGGTTGATCAATCTAAAATGATAAGCTAAAAATTTAACCAGGTTGAATACGGTTTATTCATGTTTGAGCGATTGAAAATACAAAATAGATTTTAGTACAATGTTACTGTGTTCAAAAATAAAAATTGTTAAAGTGATTTGTATTAAATTTTGCTTTAGATTTACATTTAATTTAAGTAATTTGTGTGTGCTGTTTAGCATTTTAGACTGATGATAAAATTTTCATTTATCATGATCAAATTGTAGTTAATTTATCTTGTAAAGCTCACAATATTTTATAATATGTATTTTTTACTGCAGAATTTCTTTACTGTGTACCCCTTTTCCCCTGTGTACTTTAGCTTGGAACTATATTAATGCGTGAGCATACACAACTTGGCTACCAAGCACCATTCCTCCACCCCAAGCCATCAAGCTCTTTGGAGGGTTTTCCTATACATACATATATATATATATGTATATATATATAACAAAAGGCGCCGTCCAGGGCATTGAGGCTTCGCTTCTTTGTTGTTGACTTAGGCCCACGCCAAGAGCTAGAAAGGCTTCTTCATCCTAGAGTCCGAGCATAAAAAACCACAAAAACCAGAGCTGGCATATTGCCGCTATTGTCTTTTATAGTTTCCTGGAACATTTGCCGCTTTGGCTTCCATCTCGAGCCACAGCAGCAGCAGCACCACCACCACCACCACCAATAGTGTGGTGCAATATTTGTGCCCGAAAGCTTTCCCTGCGGTTATTTCTACATAGTGCCTCGTGTGTTATATGTCTTCGCGGTTGCCATACGAACAGTTGGGCCCGAATCTATTGCCGTATTCTTTAAATATGATTTAAAACTTTACCGCAGCCATTTGCCAACTGTAATGTGACCTAGTTAGGGGTGGACTGTGGGTCGATATGGTGGCCTATTGTATAAAAAAGCAATAAAAAAGTTTTCAAAGACTAAGAAGGAAAAACTTTAGCTACTTTTCAATTTTTGTGCTTTGTTAGAAATTATAATTCTATAGCAATAGTTTGTTTATAAATTTCAAGTTATATTTTAGACTGTAAAAGTCCTGTTTAATCAACTAGTTAAAGAAATCATAAAACCTTGACAGCATAGGAGATTAAGCTAATTAATTTAATTAATTAAGAGCCGTCTGTTATTTTAAACCGTTTTTTCAATTTTTTTAAGCAAAAAACTAATCTAATTTGTTTGGTTTTATGGCTCAGCCAAGGCATTTCTTTTAGTACACCAAATTCCTTTAATTTAAATTGCATATCAGATGGACAGTTACGTTCATAGACTTCCCCCACGTAAATAAATACCATCACGAAGTGATTTAATTTCCTCAAAGTTCAACTCCCGAACGGCCTTCACTTTTATTCAATTTCAATTCCAACGAGATCTATGGGCTAACGAATACCCAGGGGTTTTTTAACGTTTTCTCTGTGTGGAAGTGTCGTGTCTCAATTTTATGCGAAAACAAAAATCAATAAAAACAAGACCGACTGCCAAGGCGGCAATAGAGTTTATATCTATATACATTTAGAGAGTTTTATGCCAATAGGCTAAATCTGATTTCCCATTAGGGCACAGTGGGCTTCCTCGCTTTTTTAGTAGCTTCATTCATCTGCAAACATAAACTGCACCATGGGGTGGCCCAGCTTAAGCTCAATCTGCTCGGGGAGTCTAGTTTAATGTGGCACATCAAAACTTAACGACAACACCTACTCCAGTTTGTTTTATGGCCACAAAATGAAACAAAAGACCGACTCGAATTTGTTGGCTAGCTGCTTCTGCTGATGCCCTGGAACCATGCCAAATGGCAAATCCGGACAGCTCATAATTTTACACAATTGTTGCCCCAAAACTTATGAAACATGCATGTCCGTCGCCTCCCTAAAAAAAGCCACAAATTACAACAGCACCAAAAAGGCACTTGAACCGGCCATCAAACACACACACAAAATTCAACAAAACAGACTACGGAAGACGAACAGAAAATACTCGAGAGGGTATCATTAAAAAAAAAAAAAGCGCAAACCCTAAAAACAGAAAAACCCGAAACCAAAACCCACGAATCTTACTCTGCAGTTGAGTAAACGCTGCAGCGGCGTAACGAATTTTTATTTGACTTTTTTCTGGCCGAAAAGCAGTTGCCGCCTTGGACTAAAAAAAAAATAAAACGAAGCAAAACACAGGAGAAGAAAAGCCAGATAATACAGTTGATAATAATCCCCAGCAATGTAACTCAATCTCCACTTCTAAGCCTCGGCCAATGCGATACGCAAGCGGGACAGGACACGATGTAAGGAGCACACAAAACGCTAAAGTGCACAAAAAAAAACAAGATGCTGAATTTATTTTTTAAAACGAATAGTAGATGTTCTAGTAAATCGTAAGACAACTAAAAAATTAGTTGGCAATACAAAATTTGAAATTAAATAAATAGGAAAAATTGGAATCCTTGTAAAACATCTTGTTCCTCTTTTTACTTTTATTTACTTGATTTTAGTATATATTAATACTAAAGATTTATTTTGCGCTGATCTTTGAAAAATAACTTTAATTAATTACCATGTTTCATGCATTTCAGTGAATATATTAATATCCTCCAGTACTCATTGCATTCAAATAGCATTTAGCACTCAGTTACTTTTATCAAAAAAATCTAGTTCTAAAAACTCTATCTAAAAGCGTATCTACACTCAACTTATCGAATACCAGATATAACCTAAAGCCTGGCCATGGCTAAAATAATGTGCATGAATGATGAAATGCAGCGAAGGCTGCCAAGAAGCGGCGCTCACCGAAGATGCAAGCGGTACACACAACACACAATGGGGAGGCGGCCGGGTGGCACAGGTTAGGGACAGGTAAATGGAAACCAAAAAAAAAAAAAAAATAACGAAAAATATATATAAAGAAAAGGCAGGAGCGGAGCAAAAGGGGGAACATTGACTGGCTTTTGGACAATGGTACGGCCTGCTATTAACGTCCAGCGCACACATGAAACAAGATATTTGTACCAGTACCCGATGAAGTATACTTCTCCGTGGCTCTTAAGTCGATGCTATTATTGCCTGCAAGTCTTCGTCTTCGACTTCGACTTGGACTTCTTCTTCATCTCGAACTGACACTGGGACTCTGACTTTGGTTGCGACTGAGACTGAGACTGAGACTCAGGCAGAAGGCTGTTGCAAGACAGCGGAACGGGTTTGTCAGTTTGACTTTGACTTCTCGCTGGCCGGCAAGTTTTCGTGATTGCACTGAGCGAAAGCAACGAAAGATCTACAAATTATTTAATTTTTTTCTTTAGAAAAATGCTTAATCCTAATTAGTTTTCTGGCTAACACTTTTTTCCTTTGCTTCTCTGATTTGTTCTATTTCACGTTTTTCTATAACAACGATTATTTTGATATCGAGAACCTTTAGTTTCCAAAATAAACTCTAAACTCTTTTTAAAATTATTAAACTTTAAATCATATAAATAGCAATGTTCCAAAATAGGTTTCGAACATTTCCCTATTTTAATTAAAATAGATGTAAGTATGCTATCAGATACCTAAGTATACGAAAACGTTTTAGAAATTTAGCTATGGCTTTAAGGGTATTTTTTTTTCTCAGCAGAAGGGTATATTTTTGAATTCGTTTTTTTTTTGTTATATGTTTTAAATACAGACACCATTTTTTTTGTCAGTGTGATGATGGAACTCTGGGTGCTGCCTTCCCGCAGTTTCATTTTGGGCCTCTTTTCCCTTTTCTCCCCGAGATGTGCTCATCTTTGGCTTCGTTTTTTTTTTTTAATTTTTCTGGTTCTTCTCGGCCATACACAAAACGACACACGCTGCATGCGGTGAGGTCCGCGGTGCGATACTGAGACCGAAAACTCCAAGCCGAGGACCCAAGACCGGACCGGACCGGACCGGAGCCGGGGTTCTGCCGACCGGACCGGTGTGAGTAATAGGCGGCGTTGCCGTTGTAGTAAATGAGCTTACCAGGTGATACCAAAACACAAAAGAAATTATAGTAATCAAATCATTTTTATGTTAAATTATGATCGACAGCAGGCAGGCGATGCGATGCGATGCGATGCGATGCACTGCACTGCGATACGATGCGAAGCGGACCCTCTTTTGTGTCCATTGTGTATCTTTAAGATACACAACTGCATGATGGGCCGTGCAGTCAGTCGTAGTGGGTTTTTAATGAAACTTTATACTAAATAGCAAATTGTTGCTGCTCTTGTCTTTTGGCTTTATGTGATGTGTGTGGCGGTGGCCGTAAGTTGTTCGTTGTTGTTCGTTGTTGTTCGGTGTTTGCTGGTGTTGCTGCTGCTCTAGCCACGGCTAATTATCTTTTGGATTGCAACAAGTTTATTAATGTTTATGTGCTGGTATAGAGAGCCCGGCTTCGTGGCTTAAATTTATTGTTGCTGTGCTTCATTGAGGCGCGGCGGCTGTGGCAGCGCGATTTTTAAAAGGTTTCAATGAACATTTATTATGATTGCAGGCCGGTCCCTGGTCGCAGGTTCCCCTGATCTTATAGTTTGCTCTAGAGGCCAGCCTTTGGCTAATAATAAACATGTATACATAGTTGTTGTTGGCTAATATATCAACATTGGAGCTCCAACAAAATAAATGCTCGTGTGTTCTCGATCTCTTTTGCACAAAGTCTGCACTTTGCCAGTGTTTATTCATTGTGCCAAATCCATAAATCATGGGAATTATGTTTATTCGACTGGGAACACCCAGCAAGTGGAGTTTCAGTTGTAGTTTTTCTTAATGAAAATGTTAAAATAAAAACCCAGTGAGTGTGTGCAAAATAAATCAATGGAAATAATAGAGAAGAGGACACATGCACATAATCCGGATGCCGTACTGAGTGGATTTTAATTAAATTTGGTTTATGTGTTTGTGATTTAGAGCGCGGCAAACATGAAAACGTTTTTTTTTAATCGTTCTCACAGTATTTTTTTTTTTAGATGACACATGCATGCAATTTCAACAGCAATCAGTCAATTAAATGCGAGCTCCAACGACTGCCATTCATGGTAAATGGGTTAAAATATCTTTGAGTTATTACTCTCGAGGAGAGAGTGTTGAATGTTGATTGGTAGTGCGAGAAACTTAATTGCATTTCAGAATCTTAAGACTGAAGAAACTGTTGAGTAGGGGACATAGAAGATTTATTTATCTCAATAGAATACCTTTCAGTTTAAAAATAAAAAACCTTTTAAGTAACAGAATAAGGATCCGGTTTGTCAATGGTGCTAACAAGTTTCAGGAAACTATTGTAAGTAAATACGAAAAATTAAAGTTAATTCTCGTTGTCAATTATTAATAAATTAAATTAATTTAATAACTAAACCAAAAACATTTACTCAAGTTAACCATGAAATACCACTCAAAAAGTCAAGCCCATAAGCCTTATAATTAAATATTGTTAGGTCGTTTCATGTCTAAGCCTTTATCCTCCAGCATAATAAATTAATTTACCAAAATGACTGATGAATTTCACATAAAATAGAAAACAAACAAAACCTTGACATCCAATAGACTAGATTCTAAGTCGCATAAATTTTAAATTGATTTCCTCACACACGCCTTAAGGTTGGAAAAATCTGTTCGAGCACTTACATCTGCAAATAGAGAGAGAAAATGGGAAACTTAATTAGTTAAATTCACAAACAAAGGCAAACACAAACAGAGGCAAACAGATAGATGAATGAAAAAGAGACTCCAATGCCAGTTAGCAGCAGATGAAGACAAATAAAAGTGAAGTGGAGTCAGTTCCAGTGTCAGGTGGAAAAGTAAGGTAGAGTGCAGATATCAACTGGGGATAAGGACCATGCTAGACCAAAGATGCCCAAGATACTCTGGTGTTGTGTGAATCCCCCAGAGAGTGCAAAAGGATGCAAGCCGTCACGTAGTTGTTTGGCATGTGACGTCACATACATACACACGCACACACAATTGCAGACATTTTAATGGCTAATTAAATTGAAACAGAGCAATGCTTTTTCCACAGCCACCCAGGCATCTGTTTCCCATTTTATTTCTTTTTTTTCCAACGACACAATTACAAATTGCCTTTCACAGCTGCAATAGTTGTGCTTGGAAATGGTAAATGGCAAATGGTCTGGGATCTTGAAATCGTAAGAGGGCGCTAAAGATAATGAAACGAATGGCAGGAATCTTAGTTCATTAGGTAAAGAGCTCAGGTGCAATTGGAATTTTCATTTAATACACCATACACAAAATTTCTGTTGAAATAAACGTCATTTAATTTATTTTTTTTTATTTCTAATTTTTTCTAGTGTTTAAAATTGGACTATGACTTATTCATAAATTTAATACTCTCTAGCAGTTTTCTAAGCTTCATTCCGGAAAGCTTTAAGCGCACATAGACTTTAAATTAAAACTCTTTTAAAAGCCAGCTTCTTGACTTGATTTTATGATTAAACACATAAGCCATAAACTGGCAATGCCTAGATTTTAGGAGTAGCTTTCTGCTTTTTGATTTTTTATTATATAACATAAATGCTATCTGAAATCTTGTGCAAATATTTTTTAATTTGCTGAAAATATTTTCACCATGCCATGCCGTTTAGTATTTTATCACCACCCAAGGAAAAAGGCAAGAAAAATCTGCAGAATAGAGACTAGAGTCTAGACCATAAGATATAATCATCATAATGGTTCATAATTTTAACGATTCATTCATAAATTCTGCGCTTGATAGTTCCCAGTTTATTAAGTTAAATCATTTCTGAGTCATAAAAGTGTTCTTAATGCCACACACACACAATCAGCGACGCACACAGAAAACCACCGAAATAATCAATAAACTGTTGACTTTATTATGCGGCTTAATATGCAGAGCCTATATCGAATTAAATTGACCAAAATGCCGGGTATAAACGTGTGTCGGTTCATCTTCAAAGTGAATAAATCGAAATGTGTCGGGGTTCCTCGCCACCAAAAGCTGCCAAATTGTTTCCCAAGAAGCGTATCGTGTGGTGTTGCTTTTTTTCTGGTTTTGGACAACAGGAAATCGCTGGCAGCCTCCGAATTTTCAAACAACGCTTTTCGGTAGATTCTAATACAGAATGCTAACACCTTCTCCGCGCTCCCCAGCAAATTCAACCATTCGACCGTTTTCCTAATCTCCCCGGGCCTCTGCTGTATCTACTGGACATGTGAGAAATGTTGCGCATGTTCGGACAACTTTTTGCACGATAATTAAATATTTTTAATTGCTGCCATGCACAGAATGCTGCTGCTTCTACTGCTGCTTCTACTGCTGATGCTGAATGGACTGAGGCAGCTTCGCAGAGGAGCAAAAATTATTTCCATAAAAGTGCAAATCATTAAATCTTTAGCCGCAGGAACATAGCTCTAATATTTGCCAGAACCATTCGAGCGCATGTATCTACCAGATGCAGAATGTTTCTTTCCCTTTATTTTATTTTTTCTTCCACTGCTTTGCTTTTCCACAAATCTGGCTTGCATTTTCGGATATATCAGAGATTTAGTGGCTTGGAGGAGTGGACAGAATTAAGGCGCAGTCGCAGTGGCAATGCCACACAGTGTTGCTAACGTGGCTATTTTCTAGGTGGCGGCTTTGGCTTTGCTTATTTGAAAATATATTAATTTTTGTATTTATCTATGCATATATAGGAAAACGTGGTAAATGTTCTTAGAAAAAATTTAGTTAAGCCGAACCATTTGATAGGTGAATTTAAGTTATACTCATAAAAAACTCTAGAGCATTTTTAGGCTGCTGTTATGAACAAGTATTTATATTTATAAAACAAGTTATATAAAATTTGTCACATATTGAAAGATTTTCAAATCTTTAATTTTTATATAAAAACAAGAAAGAAAGCAAACTTCGGCAAGCCGAAGTTCATATACCCTTGCAGCTATCGCAAGAATTAAATATTTTTGAAAACATTAAAATTATGATTTACTTGCGTATATGTTTAAAAACATTGAAGCTATGACGATTTGCAGCATAATTATTTGATTGTTCTTCTATATATTTTTATTATTTGTATGGGAGCTATATGATATAGTCGTCTGGTTTTGATGAAATTTAAACCATAATTCTGAAATATTTAACCATTGCTATATGTCGAAGAACTAAAAAAAAATTAAAAAACAGCAAAGTTATAATTTTTTTTCAATTATTTTTCCGATTGTTCCTATGGGAGCTATATGCTATAGTCGTCCGATTTTGATGAAATTTTAACCATAATTCTGAAATATTTAACCATTGCTTTATGTCGAAGAACAAAACAAAAAATTAAAAAACAGCAAAGTTATAATTTTTTTTCAATTATTTTTCCGATTGTTCCTATGGGAGCTATATGCTATAGTCGTCCGATTTTGATGAAATTTAAACCATAATTCTGAATTATTTAACCATTGCTATATGTCGAAGAACTAAACAAAAAATTAAAAAACAGCAAAGTTATAATTTTTTTCAATCATTTTTCCGATTGTTCCTATGGGAGCTATATGCTATAGTCGTCCGATCCGGCTCGTTCCGACTTATATACTACCTGCAATAGAAAGACAACTTTTGGGAAAGTTTCATGCAGATAGCTTTAAAACTCAGAGACTAGTTTGCATATAAACGGACGGACAGACGGACAGACGGACAGACGGACGGACAGACGGACGGACAGACGGACATGGCTAGATCGACTCTACTAGTGATGCTGATCAAGAATATATATACTTTATAGGGTCGGAAACGTCTCCTTCACTGCGTTGCAAACTTCTGACTGAAATTATAATACCCTCTGCAAGGGTATAAAAAATATATGTATATATTTGTGTTTATACCTATATTTCCAGTCTAATGTCTGGTAGCCGACACTGTTCATCAGCAACAGAAAACACGGAGCAGCAGCAGAAGTAGAACTTTGTGTGAGTTGGTTTGTTTGTTTTACGCTGCCATAAAGCTGAAGCCAGTTTTGTTTTTAAGCATACATCGCACACAGACCGAGATCCCCACCTAACCCCTGCTTAACCCCGTACCTACTCCACTGCTGACTCGTTCGTATGGCTTCCTTGCCGTTGCATTTGCAGTTGCAGTTGCAGTCAGAGAGTTGCACTTAATGCATTTTTCAGTAGATGCTTTTTTCATGAAAATATTTCGTGAAATTATAGCGTGGCATTCTACAGCTGCCCTCCCCAAAAGACTCTTCGTGAGCTGTGGCTACTTTGGTCTATAATCGTATTTATAAGATACAGTTTTGCTTTTGTCAAGCCACTTCTTCAGCATGGCATATTTAGTGCGTGTGTGGATGGCTTTTCCTTTGTGAGACAGCTCTTAAGTGCACCGCAGCTGCGGTAGCAATGTGATCATGGAAGGTGATTCATAAATGAGTTGCGTAGGTGTGAAAACTACCGGTATGCTAATGAAGCTGTTGAACTATGGGAAAGAATTTTTCTCCCTGGGAGTCTGAGAAAGTCTGTTAAGGTAGCCAAATTGATTTAATGTATTGATTTTGTTTAAAAGAATTTCTTTTGTTGTCTTTGAAATGGAAAAAGATTTTGTTTGGTTTTATTACGTTTTTTTAAGCTGACTTTTGTTGAGATATAATTTATTTTTAATAATTTCTTGCATGTCGTATACATTTATTTTCAAATTTTGCATACGCTATGAAGCGTTGCAAGACCCACAATAAAATTTCTAGATAAATCCCCGCGTTATCCCATCACCGGTTTTATTAATTAATTTCCAACCCTTAAACGTTTTTTGAGCTGTCTGAGCAGCTTAAAGTTTTTGTTTGTTATCGCAGTCTAGCAAATTACTTGGGCCTCGGTGCCCAATAATGGCATAGAAAAAAAATATATCCAAAGAGATATCTGCATGGGATTAATGCAAATTTCACTTAGACAAATTGCCGAAATAAACCGCGAGTTTGACCCACGCCCGAAAACCCTTCACAATGGCAATCCCATCATTGGAATAACAAGCGAGACGAAGGACGTATCTAATTGAAAATCCCCAGTCCTTCTGTAAAACCCTCTATCGACAACAGTTTTTCCAACCACTCCACAACACTCAGCTGAACTCTGTGGATTGCATGAAAGCGTAAAATCAGCTTTGGACCGAGCTGAATACACAAAAATATTCCAATCAGCGGCTTAAGAAGAACCTGGCAATCCCAAACAATTCATCGAGGGGTTGATGATACTGGCCTGGCCTACTGTGAAGGGTTATAGGGCTACTCAAGGAGGGAGGTTTGATTTTGGGCCCACATGGAAAATTAATTAAATTTGATTGTCTTGAAATTTATGGCCATCGCTTTGTGATTCTATGCAAAATTGCTAGAATTTATTTCATGAAAAAAAGGAAAGGGTATAAAAAGGGTCTAGAAATAAAGTCAGTGTTGGTAAATACATAAAAAATCAGTTATAAAGATATTTTTATAATTTAAGGATATTTGTTTTCTTAGGATATAGAAAATAATACAATTTAAATATTGTAAATGTTTTTTACCATCAACCCAAATAAATATAAATAATAATTTGTAATAATAATATTCAGGTAATTTTTTTTTCTGTGCAGCCAAGTCATCCCCTAATGCGGTTGCTCCCTTGAAATGTATCTTTTGTACAA